CTGTCAGTCAGCGACCCTTGGCGGATTCCGCCGGATCAGGTCTCCCTCAGTCAAGGACCCATTCTGCATCCCGAACCCCAGTGGCTCCAGTTAGCCGTCTGGCACTTGAGCGCTCGATCTTAACTGGGGAAAGCTGTTCACAAGGGGTTATAAAAGTTATTCAGGCATCACGCCGTCCGTCCACGAACCGCATATACGAGGCCACGTGGAAAAATTTCCAATCATGGTGTTCCAGACGTCAGTTGACACTTTCGGCACTTACGGTACCTATTATCTTGGATTATTTATTGGACGGTCTGGAAAAAGGTTTGGCCCCTAATACCCTTCGCAGGCAAGTTGCAGCGTTGTCCACAATCCTTTCATGCGACTCTGCTGAATCACTGGGTCATCACCCCTTGGTAAGGTCGTTCCTTAAGGGAGCCTCCAACCAGAATCCTCCTGTGGTACACAGGTACCCCTCGTGGGAGTTGTCAAGGGTGCTTCGGGCTATTACTAAATCTCCTTTTGAGCCCCTCAGGACATGTGACCTTCGTTCTCTGTCCCACAAAGTGGCCTTCCTCGTGGCTATTACCTCTGCTCGTCGCATTTCGGAGCTGGCGGCGCTTTCTGTGAGGGACGACCTATGTGTTTTTCAACAGGATAGGGTTACCCTTCGGTTAGACCCGACCTTCGTTCCGAAGGTCAATTCCTTATTCCATAGGTCGCAGGAGATTGTACTACCTGACTTCTGCCCCAACCCGTCGCATGGGTTGGAGCGAGAATGGCATTGTTTGGATGTCCGCAGAGCCCTTAAATATTATATTTCACGGACTGCGGAGTTCAGGAAATTGGAAGCCCTCTTTGTATCTTTCCACGCATCCACAAAGGGTCGGAAAGTATCCTCTTCTACCGTTGGGCGATGGATAAAGGCGTGCATCGCCGGAGCTTATAAGGCTGAGTCGCTACCGGTTCCGCGGGGGGTGACTGCCCACTCCACGCGGAGCGCGGCTACTTCAGCGGCATGGGCCACTCAGGCTTCAATCGAGGAAGTTTGCAAGGCGGCCACTTGGGCTTCGCCTTCTCCTTTCATTAGGCACTATAAAATTGATAAATTTGCCTCGGCTGAGGCCTCATTCGGTAGGAGAGTGCTCCAACAGGTTTTACTCCAAAGTGCCACTCGGGACAAGTCTGCTTCCCACCCTCAGGGACAGTAGGCTTTGGTATGTCCCAATGGTGGAGTCTCCATCTCAGTGCTGGAGAAGGGGCGTTGTCTTACCTGAACGCCTTTTCTCAGCACGGAGATGGAGACTCCACCTCCCTCCCTTGTATTTTTTGTATAAGCATAGGGTCAGTTAGTTTGGTGAGCCACAACGTCTTGCTGTCAGTCAATGGCTACGCTCGCGTCAAAGACTGGAGATCACGATCCAGGACGGGCGTGGCAACTTTGGCTGACTTGATCTGATTGGGCAGGAATACAGTCTACTACCCAATGGTGGAGTCTCCATCTCCGTGCTGAGAAAAGGCGTTCAGGTAAGACAACGCCCCTTCTCTCCTTTCCTCCCCAGCAATAGAAAGTACATGTGGTCAGATATGAGACCAGGTTTTTCAGTTCGCTGCTGTACAATACTAAAATATGGATTCCCAATGTTTTTCTTCATGGAATGAACACATACATGCAGTGTGTGTTTGTGTGTCACGTCCAGGTGGTGGTCTCCCACCTGAAAGCAGCAGAAGCAGCAGCAGCAAAATCCAGCCCAGCCATATTCACACAGCACTACAGCAGCCACTTACCGGTCCACCAGCCTGCTTGCAAGCCTTCTGAGACTTGTGACTTTCTGCTGGCTTCCATATTGACTTTGCTTGTTGGAAACCAACAGGAACTCACAAGTTACAGTCAAATGAGGGTTTAACATTTAATAAGGCACAGTCCACACAATGGCAATAAGGACTGGTGGGATTGCTTTCACTATGCGGTATAGTCACATGATAGTGCGCTTTATGAGTGCATCACTTACTGACAGAAATTCCTGTCCCAATTACCATCATAACTCAAGCATTAGCTATAAATAAAATATTACCAGTACGTTTCCAGGATACAGCACCTTTTACCAACTGTTTTACATGTACACTACTTACAATTATCATTTGCCACATTACCTTCATTCTCTGTTTTATCTATTGCTGAGATGTGTTTCTTCAAAAATGAATACCTCTTGTAATGATATGAACGATTCTGACAAATCAGTCTGGAAAAAAGCATCAACGGTTAGACTAGAATAAACTTATGTTTAAAAGAGATTAAAATGCTAAATATTCAAGTTTCGATCGAGTAAAATTAAAACAAAGTGTTGACTTGAGAAGTGATGGTGTAAATTCTCTCCCAAAGAAGAGATCTTTAACATCAGTCAACACTTTCTCATTTTTTAAATTAATTTTATTAAAGAATTTTTTATAGACTAAAACAATACATTTTTTAAAAATAAATAAAGAAAAGTAATAATAAGAGAAAAGAATAAAAATATACAGTGTGGCTTCCAGCCTTCTTTATAACAGTCATAAATGCATTTATGATTTACATAATGGTTTCCTGTTTCATATTCTTCCCTTTCAATTCATCACACCCATAAATCATAAGCTTTCTTCTTCATTTTCAGTGAAAAGTCCATAAAGGAAATTCTTTATTTTTCCAATCACAAATACAGTAACTTAGACTAAAAGTGGTGTATAGGATGTGCATGTGTGTCTCGAAAGAAAAGGAATAAAGGAAAGCCGGCTTCATCATTGCAGGACCTGGATTATCCAAGATTCATGGTCACTATGGAAGCGTAGCCTTGGGAGCCTGAACTGAATTGACTACATACATGGATTTCATTAGACCAGCACATCTTGCCTTAGATCAGGGGTAGTCAACCTTGGCTCTTTTATGACTCATGGACTTCAACTCCCAGAATTCCTGAGCCAGCTGACTCAGGAATTCTGGGAGTTGAAGTCCACGAGTCATAAAAGAGCCAAGGTTGCCTACCCCTGCCTTAGATACTAAATGGGTTGCAGAGGAGCCAGGCTTAAATATTTTATCTTCTGTTTATAGTGATCCCTTGACTAAATCCTTTGAATTTGTAACTCTGTTCAGTATCACACACATTCAAGTAAACACTCTTAAAGATTTTTTGCCATTTTACTTATCTGTCGGGTGACACACCTGAAATCTGCTCCTTTCAGAGTTTTAAATACATCGTGTGCCCTGTCATAGCACGGAATATTGTGGCTTGACATCAAGCTGTGGTGAATGTCAGCACCAGGAACAAATCCTTTACAGGGACTGCACTCTTCCATGTTACCTAAAACTCCCAGAACTGGAAGAGACTAAAATGAGAAAGATTGGGATTTACAAGAATGCTGTTTGATTCTCTTTTTCCTCAAGAGCTTCAGCATAAATTTAAATATGTTAGATGATTATAGCCACACAATATATCTGCAACATCTTTGGACTATTTCGGCAGGCAATGATGATGAAACTGTTGGTGCCTGATTAACAGAGTGGTGTTTAAACCAGAATTTTGAGCAACAGCTGCTTACAAAATATTTGCAATTTTTCAGTAATCAATTTTATTAATTTTTTTTATGCCATCCATCTCTCCTATAAAGCAACTCTGGCCGGCTTACAGATGATAAAAAGATAAATTGAAAAGTAATTAAAATATTAAAACTATGCAGATTAAAATTTTAAAACTATACAAAATTTACCTGCATCTTTAGAGATAACTTGACTGGTTTATCCTTCAGCAGACCCCGAAGGCGAGCGACTTGGCAGCTGGCTTTGGGTCCACTAGAAATAAGCTCTGTTGCTGGGCAGCACCGATGAACTTTCAGCGCAGTATTAAAGGACGCTTGTATCTTAGACTCTTTTGTTCAGATGCGCCAGTTGAACAATGGCACAGAAAAGACATTGTAAGAAGAGTATCAGTCAGATCCTTACATCTAAATAATTCTGTTAACTCATTCAATTCCAATTAACTTTTAATAGAATTTCTGGCTTAATTCTGGAATTAGATCTAGAATAGATGTGAGACATTATAAAAATCTAGAAATTAGTAACAGCGAGGCTACATAATACATTAAATGTAAGTGTACTCACATTTAGCCCCATATGCTGCTCATATTTTAGTGAACAAACCATAATCTTATGTTAGATAAGAAATTTTAAAAGCCCTAATATAAGAAACTATACAAACCACCATAAACCTTTTTACCCCAACATAAGACTCTTAGAGAAACATTCATTCTGATCTTTGTCTCTATCTATCTACATATCTATCTACCAATATCATCCATCCATCCATCTACCCACCCACCACCCACCTACCTATATCTATCTATCTATCTATCTATCTATCTATCTATCTATCTATCTATCTATCTATCTATCTATCATCTATCATCCATCCATCCATCTAAGTTCAGTGAATGACCAATATTGAGCATCACCAAGGAAACCTATCCAGGCATACCCTTTTTGAGAAGGGCAGCTTTTGCTCAGTATTATAGCTGAATGGCACATATGGCCTGCATGCTATGCTACAACTATGCGGGACTGCAATTCAGTGATATTTGGAAGGTCATAAGAATTTCTGCCTTTGAGCCAATCTTCCAGACATCACTGCTAAGGACACTTACAGGTCTGGAAGGAGAATTAGATCAACTACACAAATTACCACATTGCCTTTAAATACGATAGCAATGTTACAGGAGGAGTCCAGAGAAGAGCACATCCCAATGCTTTGAGGTGAGAAAAAGCTGCCCTTCTCAAAAAGCACGCCTAGAAAAGTTGCTTTGGTGATGCTCAATGTTGGTTATTCACCAAACTCAGATTAATATTATTAACTTCAGTCAAAACTGACCAGTAAATATTCTCTGTAACTGTATACCTGATTTGGATTTCTAGGAAAGTATAACAATTGTAAGTATCTAGAACTCCCCTGGAATGGAATCTAGTGCCTACCTTCTCTACAAGGGTCAGGAACCGGGTTTTGGACTACAGGCTTTTGGTACAGCTCAAAATCAGCATATCGTTTGTCCCATCTCCATCTATCCCGATCCAGAACTGGCTTCATAAAACTAGCATTGAAAAAATTCTCCTGCCATTTCTAAATGAAGGAAGGAAACATAATAAATTTATCGATTTGTTTTATTTGTATCCCATCTTTATTATTTCTGCAAATAACTCAAGAGGGTGTGTGTGAACATAACCTAATACTCCTTCCCTCTCCTGTTGGGAGGCTTCTCCAGAAGAAGCACCCTGTGAGATAGTTTGGTTGAGAGAGATAGAGGTCCACAGCTGCCCAACTGGCTTTTATTAAATTAAATTAAAAGTCCTGAAAACCCCTACCTGGAAAATGTGCCAATGACAGCAAGCATCTTGAATGTCTTTTAAATTCAGAATAGGCTGATTAGTGATTTGAAGCAGCTTAAAATTATTAATTATTTTTACCCTGGCCCAGTGTGTGTGTGTGTGTGTGTGTGTGTTTTCAAAAGTTGTTTTTCCTTGCCTCCTCCCTAGGGCTGAAAGGGAGTGACTGCCCCAAGGTCACCCAGCTGGCTTTGTACCAAGGTGGGACTACAACTCCCAATCTCCTAGTACTTAGCCTAATGCAGCGGTTCTCAACCTATGGGTTGCGACCCCATTTGGGGTCGATCGACCATTTCACGGGGGTCGCCAAGCAAGGCTGTCCGCCATTTTTTTCCCCTTTTCCGGCGGGTGCCTTACCTCCCTTGGGCTGGGCCAGCTGGTGGTTGGCCTGCTCCGTCTCTGCCACTTGCCAGCTACGCCTCGGCCGGCGCAGGGGGCGGAACCACGCATGTGCGGTGCTCCCGGGCAGGGAAAGTCCTTGACTTACGACCGGTTGGGTAGTCCTCGACTTACAACCGGTTTAGTCCTCGACTTACGACCGGTTGGGGGTCGCGGCATTAAAAAGGTTGAGAACCACTGGCCTAATGCCTTAACCATGTTCTAATTTGTTTTGTATTATATTTTATGTATGTATGCATTTGTGTCTGTGTGTATAGTATTTTGTGCGTGTGTGTGTGTATATGTGTGTGCAAATATATGTGTGTGTGTGTGTGCATACACACACACACACACACACATAGATATAAATATTCTGCCTACTCCTGGGGGAGGGAGACAGTAATCTTAAATTAAAAATATCTTTCTTTTAATTTTTGGTGATATCTTTGCCACAGATTGATTTGAAGCAGAAACATGGGAAAATTTAACCTCAAATAATGATTTTCAAAAAGCTTTTAAAAAACAAAACTATTGACATCTCTTTGAATTGTACTATTCAAAGCCTTTTGGGCCACCACTCAATTATCATCAGTTCTTTTTATCCCTGTTTATAATTGTCCACCATTTTAATATACATGTACCCTATCAAATTTATATGTCAAAATATGCTTTGGACAACAGAAATAACCGATTAGAACAACTGATTTCTGTATAGTATTAGTGAAGAACCTTGAAATGACTGTGACCCTGATGCAAATCAAAATGTTTATTTTCAGGAAGTTTTAGAAAATCTGTGGTGAGTAGTGAACCTGCTTGTTCTATAGAAAATAAAGTTTTGAACAAAGTGAATGGCTTTTATCTGGGATAAGGGATGGGAAAGAAAATGCAACAGCAATTGCCATTGTAGGTGCCATGGCCACTGTAAAATCGCATGTGTCAGGCCCCTCAAGTCATTTTCGGGGCGCTGCCATTCTGTTGGGAGGGGGGAGGCTTTTCCTCTGTTGGGAGGGGGGAAGTCGTGGGCTCTGGGATGTGTTTCTTCTGCTTTGTTCTTTCAAGCTTTGATGTATCTCTTTGGGTGTGAAAGGGGGAAGAATGTGCCTAGGGCTATCTGCCTTATCTCTGCTCCACTAAGAAGATGCAACACCTGGGAACAGAGTTTTATCACTCCTTCAACTGCCAGTTCCAATAACAATTTCACACTTGTGGATTGGCTGGATTTAGACTGGGCAGTTGGGTACCTGGGAGGGGTTTTGAAGAGAGGGGTTTAATGTAACGTTTCGCACGGGAATTATTCAGATCTTGCCTAGCCTTTCTGCTTTCACTATCTCTCAATAAAAGCTCCTGTTGCAACAATGGCAGTTTCAAGAGTTCTGGTTTTTTGGGACTATTTAGCTGAGGCAGAACTTTACAGCGTTGTCCAAGAGAAACAAAAACAATATTAGGAAAAAAGAAAAAAATATTTATGTAGTATTTGACAAATGAATGTGGCTGCCCATAATATAGCTCTCCTCAATTTAAGGATCTTTAGCATCTTCCATATGTTTCATGGAGAGATCCAGAGACAAGCCTTTGGTCCTGATCAGTTATAATCATGCATGCACTGAAATACCAATTAGATGTGGAGGTGTCTCATTACTGTTCTCACATATTTAACAGAAAAAATCTAGGTATGTTTACCCACACATTGTGTTTACCCAGAAATAAATATTGAGTTCACTGAATCTTTTTCCTAGGAAAAACAATGAAGTCTAAATCTTAATATCTCTAAATCTTACTATCTGCAGAAGAATCTGAAATTAAATAATATAAAAACAGCTACCAATTTGCTTATTGAAGCAGCACATCACTCCCTTTTCTTTATCCCTGCACTTCAATAAGTGAAGTGAAAGTGAAGTAAAAAAAATTCAGATCCGCTGTGAAGTGTATCCTGTTCACAAGAGTTAAGGGAAACAAAGAGACTTACTAAATGTGCATTGGACTCTATATGTTAAAATGCTACACTAAATTTAGCAATAATATTAATACAAATCAAGCATAACCTGATAAGCATATACTACTGATTAACTTCTCTGCAGAAATTTGCTTCATATCCTCACAACAATAAAACATTTACCAATAACATTGGAGTGAGTTTCAAGTCTGAATTTAGTCTCAATCTGGCCTGAGACAAATATCAATTCTTGAATTTTCCTCACAGTGTAGCGATGAAGCATGCTATTCCTAGTAGATGATAAATATGGCAAGTTGATAGGAATCTAAAACTTATAGTTACCTCTCTTAATTCTATCACTCGTGCCTCATCAGGCCTACGGGGATGTTTGTTGGAGTCTGCGCTGCTCTTAAATCCAGGATTTGCAAACCCTCCAGGATACAACCACAATTTCTTTGATAGTTGAATACGTTCTTTTAATATACTGTCCTCATCCACTGGGTCAAACATACCTGACAGATATTCATTATAAGCAAATCTTTTTCCTGGCATCTAAAAAAAGCACACACATACAGTATATATAATTATATTTATATATGCACACATTGTACATACACACACCCTGAACTCTAGTGGAATTCATCATAGACCAATGCAGAGAACAGCCTTCTCCAACTTGCTGTCATTTATACAACAATATACAACTACTCGTACCTCAACCAACAAGGTCCAAACATCTAGAATATACAGTAATACTGATCCCAACATATCTGGAGAATATCACATTTGCGTGCCTTTGTCTGACTCTGTATTTACTGAAATAAATTCAAAAACTGTTAACAAATGAGGGTGAAGGTTCATTCTCCGAGCTTGTGGGTTGGTTTCCATTTCCAAACATTTCATTACCAGGCTAGGTAACATCTTCAGTGGAGTTTAGGGGATGTCAATGTTCTTAAACAGAAGAACACTGACACTGACATCCCCTAAACTCTGCTGAAGATGACACCTAGCCTGGTAACGAAATGCTTGGAAACCAACCCAGAAGCTCGGAGAACGAACCATCATCCTCATCCTACATCCGAGCTACAGATATTCACCACTACTGCAAAATGTTAACGAAGTTTAATATTTTCATTTTCAAACATTAGGCATGTAATGGATGACCATCGGTAGTCTTATTTATTTTTATCTCATACCCAGAAAACTACTATTCTTTACACTTCTTCTCAAGTCACTTTTCTCCTCTCTCCCCTCACTGAGGCAGCCCAAATTTTGAGGATCACTAGAGGCACATCAGTATCTAGCTCTCTGCTCTCCAATTTGGAATTTCAGCAGTCCTGGAACAACATGCCTAGACTATTAGACGTTTCCGTGTAGATTTCTAGGAAAAAACATGAAAAAATTTAAAGACAAATCTTGTTTCCTTGCCTTTGCCATTTCTTGTCGAAGTAGCTTCTTTGCAATTTCTGCTGAATTTAATGTCTGACAACTATAGTTAAAGATAGCATTTTCACCAAAAGGGAAAGCTCTGATAGTTCTCGGGATGTCTCTTTCAAATATCTCATTGAGGAGGTTCACATATTCAATATTGGACTGAAAGACATATAAACATGTAAAATTACACTAGCTTTGAATGCATTCCTTCCCCTCCTCCCCCCAAATATATTAAATACTCTGGAAAATATCAGTAATTAGACTGGCAAATACAGAACACATATTTCCATTAAGCATTAGAACAGTAAATTAAAATTAAACCTGTCCTCTCTGCCAATTTTCTGAAAAAGGATTTCCTAAGATGCTACCTTAAAGGCAATATTCTGCAGGTAACAGAAAAGTAGAAGCCCAATTCTATTTGTGAATGAACATTGTCTTGCTAGCAGCCAATCACTTTTAGTTAAGATAACAATTCAATTGTATCTCTCATACAAAATTAGTTATGATATCATGTTAGAAGTAAATGGTTAAGTTAAAAAAAATCACAAACAGTCCTAAAAGCAATTCTTCAAACATTTGCAATAATTGGATAGTACTTTATAACAGGGGTCCTCAACCCCCGGCTGCAGCACACTACTGGGCAGCAGCCTACTTGAAACCGGGCTGCGCGAGTGATGGGCCAGCAGGCGCATGTGCGCAAAGCTCCACTCACGCGAGCGGAGGATGCGAGTGGAGAAAGCTTGTACTTGCGTGCGAAGCTCCATTCACGTGAATAGAGCTTCCCGCGCAAGCACTCTCCACTCACTCAAATGGAGCTTTGCACATGAGCGCAAGCACCCTCCGCTCACGCACAAAGTTCCATTCGAGTGGAGGGCGCATGTGCCCGCCGCTCACACCAATGAAGCTGTGTGCATGCACATGCACCTACAGTTCACATGCCAGCCCCTTCCCACGCCTGGGCCAAGCCACCAAGGTGGGAAGGTTGGGGATCACTGCTTTACAAGACAACTATGTGTCTTAAGGGATGAAAGTACTTCTCCTTTTAAACTGACATCTTATGAATTGTCAGGCCTAGCATAATTATGCTAAACACAAATCCTCAGATTTGTTTTCTGAGAAAATACTATTTTCAGGTCACAATTGCTTCCATACAAATGAAAATACCAGTAGCTTGCCCTTCAATTACAGGTACTCCTCGACTTACAACCACAATTCAGCCCAAAATTTCTGTTGCCGAGTGAAACATTTGTTAAGTGAATTTTGCCCAATTTTGCGACCTTTCTTGCCACAGTTGTTAAGTGGATCACTGCAGTTCTTAAGTTAGTAACACTAACACGGTTGTTCAGTGAATCCTGGCTTCCCCATTGACTTTACATGTCAGATCAAAAAAGGTGATCACATGACCCTGGGACCCTGCAACGGTCATAAATATGAGTCAGTTGCCAAGCATCCGAATTTTGATCCCTTGACCATGGGGATGTTGCAGCGGCCATGTGAAAAGTGTGAAGCAGTGTGAAAAACAGCCATAACTCATTTTTTCAGTGCCGTTGTAACTTTGAATGGTCACTAAATGAATAGTTGTAAGTCAAGGACTACCTGTACTAGAAAAATTACCCTCTGAATAAGTGTCTGGCCAAATAGGATGATGTGGTTGAAGGCTGCACTAGATTTACCTCACAAGAATAGATTCACTGAATACAGAAATCATTCACAAATTTATTCCAGAATCCATTAAGATTATATAGAGATTGTACTTGGATCAAATGTCCCTGGAATGGAGACATTACTTTCACGTGGGCTCCAATCTGCATACTAAGGAACCAGTCAACTTACGGCCCCAATTGGGACTGGGACTTCTATCATTAAAAAGAGATGCAGTTCCTAAGTGAGCAATGGCCAATTTTACGACCTTTCCCACCCCCATTGATGTAGCTTGTCAGACGTTTCATGGGGAGGTCAAGAATGGTGTTCACCAGGATGCTATAATCATCATAAATGCACGCCGGTAGCCAAGTACCCAAATTTTAATCATGGGCACACTGCAACGGTTGCACGAAGACCAATTACAAATCACTTTTTTTCAGCATCGCTGTAACTTCAAAAGATCGTTAAACGGATGGTTGTAAGTTGAGGACTAACTGTATGTGCAGCTGTATGGCATTAAAAAAAAAAGGAGGGGAACCTGCATAACAGAAGCTGGCATCTGGTAATGAGCCCCACCAGCACAGCTAAAAATTCACCTTAATAAAATCTGTACAGGTTGCCAATTCTTTCTGCGAGGCTATTTTCACTACTGCGTTTCACCCACCTGGATATAATTATGTGGTGCCTGGCTTTCTTGTTCCTTTTTTCTCAGTACATACTTCTCGTTGTGGTTATCCAAGTGAGAACACCCATACTGCCTCATGCTTGGATCCTTTTGCATTTTACTGACTGATTCCAAGATCTCTGGGGGCTCCCTTGCATACATGTCAGCTTTAGTCAAGGGAACCCCAAACTCCTGACTCAACATTGTGATCATTTCTGCTGAAGGCAAGAGACTGTAATGGACCACTTCCCTTAACTTCTTACTGTGGCAGATGTAATCAAGTCTGCAGTGTGGAAAGAAAGAATGAACAACGGAAGATCAGTGCTGTAATTTAAATAAGGGAACTATTAATTTGTTTTTAACTCGACTACTGTTGGTTTTAAATTTTTCACCTTAACTGCTGTTGAAAAGCAGATTGCATCTCTTTTTAATAAAAAAAATCACCTAGCAACAGATTACTTTGGACCAAGAATCAAAACAGTGAAACCAATCACACTGACAATGAATATGAAACAAATATAATAGATTACTATGTCTATTAACTACTGTCCAATCTGATGCGTTTGCAGGTAAACTTAGAACTTCTCCAGTTGAGTTATGGAAAGTTTATATTAAGTATTTATTAAATATAAATATTGTCTACTGTTTATTTTCCAATATGTCAAATCATTTGCAGAACTCTTGCTCCACTCTTTTCGGGTGTAGCACTGAGTACTTGTGTCCTAATCAGTTCTACAGAGGTTCCAGGTAGCAACAAATCTCATCTGGACCAGGAAGGGATCAGATTATGCATTCAGAGACAAAACCAAACCCATTGTACATTCACCTGAGTCAGGCTGAGACTACTTGGGACAGACCTAGAGCTATCGTGGAGGCCATAAAATCTGAGTTCTGCCAGACCCTCACCCCAACCCAAGATAAATCCTTACCATACTCAACTTCTAAATCTACATAATTTGTATGCCACAATCTAACAAAGCTGTAACCTGGAAAGAGCTTCAAAACACGGCTGAGGAACCATATCCCTGATATATAACAAAGGTTGCTTCATGATGCTTGACAGTGGCTTGCAGAGACGGATGTGAAGCAGGATAGCTTCAAGATCTATATACAGCCGCTTGTGAAAAGACAGGTGTGAATTATAGAAAATCTGTAATCTCCCACGTTCCGTTTCCTGCACCCTGTAAGATAGGAAATTGGACTACATTAACTAATAAAGCCTTCATTTCTTCTGTGGAATTTGACTTTTAAAACACAGATACAAATCCTGTGAAATAAGTAATAAATCTCTGTACTGCACATCAGTTTTCTACAATTTTTCCAATAAAACTACTCTTGTGTAAAAGCAACATGAAGACACAAATGGCATTCCTGAAAAGGCAAATCCCAGCAAAATAAATCACAGTATTTTTAAAGAGCATAACTAAGGAAAACCTGCACCAACCATGGTTTACTGGTCTGAAACATGCATTTCTCGTCATTTGAGACCAGTCCATATATAAAAATAGGGCTTGCTGAGTTGGGGGAAACTGAAGCCAATTAGAATTATGAACTTTTCCAGCTGCTTTAGGCCATTCACATGCAAACCTAGATCTCTGCTTGTGAAGGATTGCTGCAATAATTAATATCTAGCTGCTGCCAAACTCAGCATATTTAACATTCTGCAGAAATAAAGGCGAGACTATAAATGAAGTACTCAGTTCAGCTTTCTTTCTTGTAGCTGTACTAATGCTATGTTGGAATGAACTGCATTTTAACTCTCCAAATATAGCAAATATGCTACTCCTATCTATGCACTTCCTATAACGCTGATACAGAAATTTGCATATAAAACAAAAGGTGTGCATCAAAAAGCAAGTATAATATGAAGCTTTGGGCTCAAAAGGCATTCCCTTTGGTGTGAATGAGAAAAAGAGGGCACTTGCCACTTTAATACATTCAAGTATAGTTTGGTCTAAATATTGTGTCCTGTTAAACTACATACCATATGTGTTGTGAGACATTCTGTTGTTTTTAAAATAGGTATGTGTAACAAGCATAGGAATAACCTTGAGGAACAGGAGAAAGAGCTGCAACCAAAGGCAAGAGTCAGACAAAAGAAATGTGAGTCTTGTGCATAAATGTAATTTGAAAAAGCCTCTTAAGACTTGATCTTCCCTAGTTCTGGTGAAGATAAAGAGGGAGTGGGGAGGCACATTCAGACTTACAAGGTTCTTTTCCTGTAACCTTGTAATAAAAAGTAGTACCGTAGTAGCCTGCACGACTTTAGTTTCCTAGTTTGGGCTACTTGGAAGAGTTGACAAATATTTCAGCACCAAGGATCATACACAATATTTCCTGGTCCTGCACAATAACAACATCATACAAGTAGAAGAAAGCTAGCTTTTTCCACTGTGTCTTAAGTCAGTTTTGTACTGTAAAATTTTAATTTAACAGTGTAGCAAAAGCTGATCTAACTGCTTGGCTTTGTCTTTGAAGGTGATGCATATTAAAGATACATTTATCTTTCTCTGGACTATGCAACTGAACTATCATGATTAATCCTTGAAAAAAAAAGGGGGGGGAGAAAGACCTGAAGATCAATATCCTACACTTAAAATATTTTAAAGCTTTTTTTTTTTTACGAACACTGTAGTCATCTCTGAAGGCTGAATATGACAGAATAAGTTACAAGTAAAGGTAAAGAAAAAGTTTCCCCAGTCCAATCATGTCTGGCTCTAAGGGGTGATGTTCAACTCTACTTCTTAGCCAAAGGAGCCAACATTGCCCGAAGACACTTCCATGGTTATATGTTCAGCATGACTATATGCCCAAGGACACAGAATACCTAATTATCTAGTCACATTTGCATACTATTGAACTGCTAGGTTAGCAGGGGCTGAGGCTCACCCCGTTCTGCAGCATTCAGGTCTCAAACCTGAGCTATCAGCTTTCCAGCTGACAATCTCAGTTTCTTTAACCACTGAGCCATTGTCCTCCCCCTCCAGGTTAGAAGTAACTTAAGTTTAAATTCACATTCACATACTTCTGGGTTTTTTTGTTTTTTGTTTAGAATTAGCAAAGAAATGTGTGCTGTAAATGTACAAACTCAGTGTCAAAAGAATAGTCTAAATATGCTATATTCTTCTTAGGTAGAAGATGATTAATGGTAAAATAAAACCATTTCCCTAATTAATAGAAGTATTAACTGCAATACAAAAGTTTTCATCCAAGGTATAATAGATATAGTACAGCTTTATAGGACTCTTATTCCTCCCAAATGGCTGGCAGACAATCCCTAACTCCCTGAAAGGTGTCAATTTAGATTGAAGTTATGGGGAGGGAGGGAAAGAACTGTGGGTTCCCTATCCACCCACACTCCAACCCACGTGTAAATCCTGAACTACATCAGGTCCCTTGATGCCTAGCATCTCCTTTCAAAAAGCAATGGATATAAATGTGAACTGTGTAAAATAGAATCTTTTGTACCTAAGAGTCATTCAGCTTTATGAATTCCACCATTCCTAGGAAAAATGATTTGGTTACAGTGGATTCCTAACATACAAAATAGAGATGTTCAAAATATCCAAATAACTCAAAGATTAGATAGATAGATAGATAGATAGATAGATAGATAGATAGATAGATAGATAGATAGATAGATAGATAGATAGATAGATAGATAGATAGATAGATATAAATATGATAGATGATAGACAGATGATATATATAGAGAAATGATAGATAGATAGATAAGATAGATTATATAGATATTTCAAATATCAGAGAAAGTCTAAATATAACAAATATAAAAAGCTACCAATTTCTACAGCACTATTCATTTTTTAAAAATGTTTAGGCATAGATTTCATTCTAATATACTGTTTCAGTATGCACAATTATTTTAAAAAAAACATCAGGGCATACTTGAGTCACCGTCTAAGAGGGAAAAATCTAATACTTCTGTTTATAAATCTATGGAGTGGGTCACCTATGAAATGTTCACAGGCTGAGCATTTGGAGCACCAGGGACTCTTGACATCACTTCTGAATTTTATCACCATTATTATGTTAGGATGTAACATCTTGTAAACTACCTTCAGAAGTAGATAACCACAGGAAAAAGTAATTTTAACAGTAAAATGGTGTTGATTACCTATCAATTTTTTTATTCCACATCCTCTTAAGTGCTTTATTTCTGAAACCTTCCAGGATCAGAAGGTGAATGGACCCGTCAATTATGTGAAACCCAGTAATAATATTTAGCCGAGAAATCTCTTCTAAGGAAAGTTTGTGATTCAGTTTCAAAGTATTAAGAGATTTTTGAGTTGTATCTATGGGATAGGAATCAAGTAGGAAAGCCTCTGCATTAATTTCTGTAATCTCCTGCATCAAATAGTGTAAGAATGATGTATTATTATAATCAAAAAGATAAATGATGCAGCCATATGGACAACGTGCAGCAGCGCCCTCTTCCTCTGAAGGACCTAATGGTACACTTATTTCAACTCTCACTTTAAGATATGACTCAGCATTTACATAATTCCCATTTGGAAATTGAACAACCTGAGAGTCATCTGTTTTCTTATCCCCTGGACTGGTGTTTTGTCCATGGAATAGAGATGTATCTTGAACTGAGCTGTTGTGAATTGGTGCACAGAAATTCAAGGTCTTTTCCCCTAGCAACAAATTGCTCAAATTGATTTTAGTTACTCCATACAGGCTACAAATATTTTCTTTGGCTGTAATGGGATTCTGGAGCATGTATCTCGAAGTGACATTGCTTATGTCACTTAGCTTGCTGTCTCCTGGTTCTTCTCCAAACAAAGATGGCTTCATCTTGAGATCTTCCATTTTCTTGTCTCGGTCATGAACTTCAATTTCTAAGTCTGGACCTCTTAGGTATTCACTGAATTTTCCAGGGTCTATTGTTCCTACAAGAATCACATTGATATCTTTAAAGAAGACATCAGTTCCATGATCTCGACCTTGTGTATAATGGGGACACATATTGTAGAAAGTGTATTTGCAGTAAACAGGAGTGCAGGTTCTCTATAAAAGACAAAGTAACAGTATAAATGTTTAGTATAAATATGACTTGTTGATTCTGTTTATTTAGTATACAAATAACCGATTGTCAAAAGACAATCAAAAAGACAACATCAAAGAAATTAAAGTAGGGGGAAAAAGCAATGTTGGTCCAAGAGGGATGGTTGCATGGAGAACACTCCAAGCACACATACCTAAGCAAGGTGTTCTCTAATCTAACAACTGAAAAAAAGCTTGTGTTCATTCACATATCACATGTCAAGATACTTGATATATCAATTTCTGAAGATAATGTCCTATTTCAGGTTTCAAACATACACACACGGTTGCTAGGAACTTGAGTTGCTTGAGTATGAACGATCAAAGGAACATAAATTAATCTCTGAAGATAAGGTAGTTTCACTTTCCACAGAAATACGTAGAATAATCCAAAATCCAAAATTGAGAGAGCCAAACAAGATGTGCCATCCTTTCCAAGGATGGGAGTTTTAGATTGCTTATAAAGCAGATGGCAACAACATGGTCAGATACAGGAAATCAGACCATTGTTTCCAACATGGGAACCTAAGTCAAAGCTGCCTCTCAAATAAGGCTGAAGCCAGCTGTGTCTAAAGCATATATATTCTTGATGGGCAAGAAGCCTTACTGAGCATCTTTGCTATCCTCTACTCTCCAAGTACAAGTGCTTAGAAGCTGTATATCAACATCTGGTTATTCTGATTGTGCCTATATTTGATTAGCCTCAAACGATTTCTGGCTCAATGTGATTCTGATTCTGGCATTCAATTGGTTCAACTAGAGTAGCTTCTCTGGACTCTATCTGAGTCCCAGGCCATGACACACATGGTGATAGAATATTAAGCTAAGCACTTAAGTTGCAAGTTTCTGTCTTATCTAACACACTAATAGTATCTATTTATGAAATCTAGGTCAGACTGGGAACCGAAATGGGATGTCACTGGTATGTTAACAATACATTTTTGTTTTCTTTTTCATCTGATTCAGGTGTGACGCTAGCTATTCTTAAATGGAACAAAAGAATCCTTACATTAATCAAGTAGAAGAGTAAATTCATGATGAATTAAGGGAATAATGATTTAAGAGAATATTTTGTTCCTATCTTCAGGGATTTATCTGTTTTAGTGGAGAGAATGATTAGGGATGAATGATATAAATACTTTGGAAGACAGAACAAGCAGCGGACAATTAAGCAAGTAGATGGTAGAAAAATTGTTATCCTCATCAGCAATAAGGACCTTGAAAACACAATTGGATCAAAAGACTGCAAATTATCAGAATTACAATGTGAAAATAGATTTCTGTGCTCATTCTAGATCTAAATTGTGAAGGGCAAACAAGAGGAAAATTCTACAGCACTTAAAATTCAGGACATCCCACTATAATGGACAATGGTTGATGTCTAACATCAGCCAGTTGCAAGAGCCATCATGTCTATGCTAGTTTGACGAGTGAGATATATAGTAGATCCATAACTTAGCATTTAGTGTGGACACACTGGAGACGTACCAATAAAGGAGAATATTTGTAGCTCAGAGTTGAAATGAGGGGTTCTTGGCATTCCCTGAGCTTGGCTGTTTTCTTGAAGATGTTTCATTACTCAAACTAGGTAACTTCATCAGTGCTAATCCTGTTTTTTACTTTGTAAAAAAACCACATCACTAGCAGTGTTGATGTTACCTAGTTTGGGTAATGAAGCATCTGCAAGAAAACCACCAAGCTTAGAGAGCACCAAGAACCCTTCATACTGCAGTAGGAATTATACAGATAGGATATGAGAGGATTGGGGAATGAGAAGTCCTCCCCCACCCTAGGTCAAGTAGGATATAAAGTGGAAATAAAACAGCAATAATAATGGCAGTATTAGGAAGGATTGAAGTGGCTTTTAGTGAAAAAATGTAGAAAGAAGAATTGAATGTTTATGAAGGATAAAGCTTTCTAAATAAATTTATCTGGAGACAGAGACGCAGAACAGAGAGGAAAGGAGAATGAGAGAATCCTTTGCTGGGTGATTAAAAAAAGATAAAGATGTTTCATTCAAAGCTCTTTTAAATCAGACTGGAAAACAATCAAATGAAAAATAACCTTCAACAGTGGTCCCTGTGTTACAAAAGCCGTAGTCAAGGTTTCCCCTACAAGAAAATTACTATAAGGAGGCCTAGTGAGTGCCTGTGCATTAGAAAAATTAAAGTTTCCTACATTTCATTTCAGGACATTTATATATAAATTTATTTATAAATACTCTGCAAATCCAGAAACAAAAAACACTTCAAAATTTATTGTTTTTGCTACAGAATACTCTCTATTATCACGATATAGAACCAAAAAGAATTACCTGCAACTCTTCAATTGGAACAGGAGTATTTGGTAGACATTTTGCAGACTTAATCTTAATAATCAGTGGATTTAAGTCATGTTTGTGTTTTTCACTCATAATAGGTTTGTCTATAGCAAAACCTAAGTATGCTTCATTAAGTTTGGGGGAATTCTCTTCCCATCGACTGGCTATATAGTATTCACCTGCAGATGGAGAGAAGGATCTGAATTATTTATAACTGTTCAGATAAAAAAATGTAAAGTCTGTTAGGTTGAGCCTGATCTTTGCTATCTTCATGGACAAGACCATGTACAATTTTTTTTGCAAAAACACTAAAATGGGTTGTGTTTGTCTGCCTCCAGGATGTTTTTCCCACCAGACTTCTTCTACCTTGTCATTCCCAAGTGTTCCCCCAACCAATTACTAACTAGGGCACTGATGGTGAACCTTTTAGAGATTAAGTGCCCAAACTGCAACCCAAAACCCACTTATGCATCATCGAGTGCCGACTGGGTGTGGCCCATTGGGTGGCGTGGCCCATTGGGGAGGCGTGGCTGCAGTGGTAACGGCAGACTGGGTGGGACTAAAAAGTTCATCAATCAATTTCAACTTTGCAAATCTTTTTTTTTCCCACGAGAAGTTGAAATTGACTGATTGAACCTTTTTTTTTTTTTGCACACGGCGGCAGAGGCCTAAAGCGAAAAGGTTTTATAAAACATAGCTGAAGGCATAGGACTGGGGCGACGGCGCGCGTGCCCACAGAGCGGGCTCTGAGTGCCGCCTCTGGCACCCGTGCCATAAGTTCGCCACCACTGAAACTAAGGCCAACCCTGCTTAGCCACAAGTATAGCCATCTGCTAGGATTGACCGAAGGGCTGATGCTAATGCAGCAAGACGTTCCTGTTGCTGCTGAAAATATAAGTGGACTGCACTAGCTCTCACTTTTACTACTTAGGTAATGCCAAGAAGCAGAAAATAAAGGGATACAACTATGATAGCCTCGTTTGCAAATTCCGATGCATCTAGTCCAAGTTACTCAGAAAGCACCAATATCTAGGAAATAATAAAAGAGGAGGTGCGAAAGCATATGAAGCAATAGCTTAATTGAAGTCAAATGTTTTCAGTCAAAAACTTTCTTTGGAATCAATCAAGTAATATATACACCATAGATGGGAATCTACTAAGAATAATTCTTAGCAATCTTCTTATCAAAGATGAATACTCTTTGGTAAGAACTGTACAACAAGGTAAGAACTGTACAACAATATAGCAAGTAGTCCAAGAATACAATTGGAATTCATGTAATATTGTGCCAAATGGTAACAAACAGCTGTGTATATGTAAAAGATATATTTGTATTTTATGGTGATTAAATCAAATACCTGGAGGTAATTATTTCTATGAAAATATTTTGTTTAGAAGAAAACTATATTGCCCAGATGAAAGGAGATATTGAAAGATGAATGAAATACTCTTAAACTCTTAGAATAGATGCAGTAAAAACTGAATATGGCTTCCGTACTGAGGTGCATTTTGAGAGCAGCGTCTATGCCGGTTTCATATATGTTTGGGTCATGTCCACAAGTAGTTCTTATTGATTAGCTATTACTATGGTGAACACTTGCAAGAAAATAAAGGTTCAGGCAAATAAATGTGTTGTTGAATTGCATTCCATACAGTACAGAACTGTCCATTTTGAAAGAGCCTTGGATACACAGAGTGTGGACTCTTGCAAAAAATTATTCTGTTTGCTTGGAAGGTTGCAAAAAATTTAAACCACTAAAATGGTTTTGGATCAACCAAGAGATAAGCTTAGTCAACATGCTTCCATATCATCTAGGTCAGGGGCAGGCAACCTTGGCTCTTTTGTGACTCGTGGACTTCATCTCCCAGAATAGCTGGCTCAGGAATTCTGGGAGTTGAAGTCCACGAGTCACAAAAGAGCCAAGGTTGCCTACCCCTGATCTAGGTTTTACTGATTGCCTAAAAATTAAATGGTAATGACCAGTCTAATAATATTCTTTTGGTACTAAGTAATTCTAAAAAGGAGAGAGTGCTGCAAAGTACTGCCTCCAAATCCCTATACAGTCAGAGATCAGAACATCCAGATTCCAGGTACGGGGATAGGCAGGCACCAGCCCAGGTTCCAAAAGGCATTTTAATTTATCCAAGCTTCTCACTTGGATACAGTAAGGGGCTTCAGCAGTGGGAGTCTACAAATCAGCAGCAGAATTCAATGAGCCTTGAAGCAACTTGGAAGAGAGACATAAAATACAGGCAGACATTACAAACTTCATCAGTGAATTTCATTCAGGAAAATTGATTTCCTCAAGATGCAATAAACTGTTTTACTGGGCAACACCTGAGGCAGAAAATCAACTAGGTACTTGTCACTGGACTCCAGGCTATATAATTTGCAAACCTATTTGCACTAAGAAATGGAGGTCTCACTTGGCCTCTTTTTCAATCCTGAAGATAGCCCTTCCTGAGTAAGACCTGGCCATAAAAAAAACCAAGTTTTTTTTATAAAGTGATATGAATCAGTCCCTTCTCCCCCCTCCCGAATATTATGTAAGTTGAACACAAACTTACATATTATGCAAATGAACACAAAGGCTGGACATTTTTTTTAAGACTAGCAATTTCATGAGATTTACCAGCAAGGCTGTTTGCACTTTAATTCACAACAACCACAAGGAAATCCTGCTTGACATTAGCCTTGTTGAAACTGTTTCACACTGTCTGGTTTTTCCCATTTCATGTAAAAAAAAAAAAAAGTGTCTTGGCAGCCTCCACAACTCAAATTTTGCATCTCATCATGAAAAGGAATCACACAATCAGTCATCTCTCAGAAAAGCTGCTTGATCTTTATCCTCGTCCTCTGGGGTCAGGGTTCCAAATCTGCCCAGGTGATGGACACAGCCATGGCACTTTGATTGTCGTTGACAGATACAGGAGAGTGGGGCTTGGATCACGATGCTATGCCCGCCATCTTGCAAGTATTTATCTCCCTCCCTGATATTCCTTCATTATATTTCCATTTTCCCTGTTACCTGTCTCTGGGGAGAATACCTGCTAGAAGAGGCATGAGGTCCAGTTGCAAAACCGCTATTCCAAACTTCCTTGCCTGGGCTGCCAAGGCAGCGGCTTCTTTACCAGCTGACCTCTGGGCGGCCTGTTTTGATTTCTTGTCAGCACTGAAAACGTTACCTTTTTGCGATGGCCTCCTCTTTTCTGAGTGAAGAAAAGCTGGAAAATTATAGAAGTCAATTTATAATTTGGATAAAATTGATTTGTAAAGACAGAAAGGTGATTATTACATTTAGCTTTAATTTCATTGCATCGCTAACTGGAAGCTGAATCATGAACAACTGGACTTTTCTTTTGGGTTTGAGTCCAGTTGCCATCATTCAATTTCCTGACAACTCTATCTGGATAACTGAGAATCTTCATTGACACATTGCCTCACTATGTCTTACTTCTCAGCTCTGCATAATGCTGCATATCTTGAAAGGAAAGAGCATGATGGACATACATATATCTCCAGCCCTGAAGGCATGCTAAAAATGGGACAGGCAGAATGAAATCAGGAAGTCCCTGATGTGTCTTACTAAATTCTCTGCACTGCAATTCAATTCTCTCAATCTGAGCAGCACTTCATTCATCCATTACCCATGGCACACAATTAAAAACTTGTAATGTCATTGTTAAGTATTACAGCTCAATTATAAGGAACTCTGGACACATGGGAGCACCATACATTAGTTTTACTTATTTTTCATTTTCTCATTCTTAATTTAGATGTTATCTTAATCTAACCTTGTCAAAGATTGCTTTCAGTGACTGATCCAGATTGGATTGTTTTCAGTGCTTAAAAACAGATTATTACAGAGTTTACTTCATAAAACTCCGATAGCTATTTGCTATCCATACTGAAGGATGCAGAAATGTGCTCTCAACCAAACAGTACATTGATTAGATTAAGCAACAGAAGGCCAACTATTTACCGAACAGTAAGCAATTCCAGAATAAAGCACTGTTTCAAAAAGCTGAAATACGTCAATAAATTGAACTGGGAAGTATTACACATTCCAGTTCTACCTCCTGTCTTGGTATAGTAGTTTTGTAAAGACTGCTGCCATCAACTAACTTCCAAGGAAATGTCCTTGCCTGACACTTTCCCCCTAAAAGCGTTACTTAGGGCACTAGCCCACATGAATTAGGAGATCAATCTCACACGGTGTAAGCAGAATCAAACTTTTGAATGAGTCCCATGTAGTACATCTAACGGAGGTGGAGGTAAAAGGGGTGGAGAAATGTTATGGCTCTACACAGCTCAGATTCGGGTGAAAGAAAACCGAACTAAAGAATTCTAACGACCCCAAATATGTATTTTGGAAGATTTACCCACAATCCTCTTTTTCTGAGTAAAGTCACAAATGTTGGTTTGTCAACACACTGTATATGTAGTCTTTGACTTACAACTATTTTAGTGATCATTCGAAGTTATAACGGCACTGAAAAAAGTGGCCTATGGCCATTTTTCACACTTACAACCACTGCTGCATCCGTGAGATCATGAGATCACAATTCACATGCTTGGCACCTGACTCATATTTACGACGGTTGCAGTGCCCCAGGGTCACATGATCACCTTTTGTGACTTCTAACAAGCAAAAGTGAATGGGGGTAGCCAGATTCACTTAATAACCATGTTACTAACTTAATAACGGCAGTGATTTATTTAACAATAGGAAAGATTGTAAAATGGAGCAAAACTCATTTAACAATTGACTCACTTAGCAACAGAAATTTTAGACTCAATTGTGGTCGCAAGTCAAGGACTACCTGTATTAATTTGCTTGTCTTCCACATATCACCTACAAATTTGTCATTAACACTGGTTAAAGTTCACTATTATATTGCTTATTAAATCTATTATCTTAAATAGATTTCTGTGTTATTTAAAATTGCAATCGTCAATATATTCATTTGGAAAGAAAAAACGTCAGTAGCATTTGCTTCCTAGAAAATGTACAGGATTGCCTGAATCTCGATGACGTACTCACCTATAGACGCTCTTTCCTTTCTGTCTGAAGAAATTGGCGATTTACCCCCATTGGTTTTTATTAACAGTGATGCACGGTGTTTCTGTTTTATCGTTTTACCCTCCTGAATGGTTTTTTCTTTAAAAGAAGACGCTATACTCCCAGAAATACTGAGTGTGCTTAAAAAGAAAGGAAGGAATAAAGAGGAAAATATTATGTACTATTTATATTGGTGCTGCTGGAAAACAAATCAATTAACCATTCCCCTTATAAAAAGTAGAAATAAAAGGGATAAAGTGCAGATGGCACTCTGAATTTCCTCTAAGATCTATCCATCTTCTTGACTGTGGAAAGCAAAACACCCCCAATTGGCCTATCACCTCTCATCCAAACATGGGATTCTATGCCTCTGTGGCTGCTTGATCCTTTGGTTGCTGTGGAGAATAGAATCCCACCTGAGAATTCCCATTTTATTTTATCTTAAGTTTCAATTTGACTCAGAGGCGTAACAACCTTATGAAAGAGCTGCCATAAGCTGCCACACTATTCTCGAGTCTTTTGGTTTGATGAATGACACCACAGATGAATATGTACCTGGCTTTATTCAGAGAGAAAGGGAGGGAGGGAGAGGGAGAGGAGGGAGGGAGGGAGGGAGAGAGGGAGGGAGGGAGGGAGGGAGGGAGGGAGGGAGAGATTCGCATACATTTCCCACCTTATCTTCCTCTGCAGATCATGGCAAACAAGACCCTTTGGATTGGATCATCTTTTCAGCCACCTTTCAATTTTGTTTTGGGGAGTTTAATGTTATTGTAATTGGAGGAACCTGATATTTAAAACAAAGGAAAGTATGCCTTGGTGGGGGGGAGGAGGGAGTAAAAGAACATTGTAGGCAACAAATTGGTCTATTCAACAAAGAGGAAGAAAGAAGGGCGAATACCAGCCTCATCTCTTCTCCGCTCTATATCAGTCTTTTTTTTAATGGTTTATTGGTTTTTTAAAAATTACAATCTTTAGTGCTTAGTAAACAACGTGTTGTCTAGGTTCACATATTTGACATTAACTTCTTCAATATGAATCTGTTCAGTATTGCACAATCCAGTATTTTTTCCCTTATCCTCCTTTCTTCCCCATATTTTTTCCATTTTCCCCTCCTTACAATTACAATATTTGATACCATTGGTCTATTCAAAGTTAAACATAAACATCTTCATCATATTTTACTAATGTCATACAAATAACAATAATATCAATTCATAAATCAATATCCTGTTTTTCATGTTCTTGTTAAGGTTTGATTTCCCATCAATATTTGAAATACCTTTGTCAGTTATGATTTTCTCAATGTTAATTACATTTATATAGCTATAGGCATGAGGAAGACATGCCTATAAGCTATATAAATGCTATAGGGGGCATATATGGGGGAGAATTCCGCCTATTTATATTCCTTAAGCAACTCCCAGTTTCCTTCTCCCTCAATTTCTCTTTTCATTCCTTGTCTCCCAAGTTGTGACATTTCCCTTAACATTCTATTTTTTAAACTCTTCTTCCTTGCCATCAGATGTATTTTGCAGACCTAAGGGGTAAAGGGTCTTTTGCATTTTCATTGTTATGGCTAGATCTTGCAGTATTTTGTTTGTATATGTTTGTATATGGTTGTTTATATTTCCCTCCTTTTATCTCTTCCGTCTCTAAATCCATTTCCTCTGCTTCGTCTTCTGATTTCTGATTTCTTTGTTCATACTTTGTAGTCGTTGCCTGGGAGCTTTCTAGTTTAGATTTAATTTGGAGATTTGCTCATTTATATTATCTAAATTGTTTTTAGTCTCATTATGGTTTCTTTTTATGTCCTCTTTATATGCAACAATTGTTTGGTGAATTAGTTGTAGCATTGAGTATATTTCCTTCTGAAAGGTGTTTGTTTTTTCTTGAGGCATCGTTCCTGGAGATTCTCTAGTATCACCAGTCTCAATAAGAGTAAATCAAAGTTTCATCTAGTTTTCTGGTCTTTATGTGTAGCCTTTATAATCCAGAGTATAGGTCTAGTCCTGAAAGCAATATTTTATAGTGATCCTTTGTCTCAGGTATCCAAAAATTGTCAGTCAGGCAAGGCTGTAATTCACAATGTTCAAAGTGTTCAAAATGTTCAACCTTCCTGAAAACAGCTCAAAAGTCTCTCTCAGCCAGGCATAGCCCAAAGTCAAATTTTCCTTCTCTCCCACTAACTCTTGAGATTAAAAGTCCAAGCTCGGTAGGTGTTTATAGTCCAAGGACAGGGTGACAAGTATGCCAAAATATTTTCCTTTATTGCCAGCTGTTCTCCCAAGCTAGGAGTCACCAAGCAGCCAGGAAGCAAGTTATAGTGCTGTACACATATCCACCACTAGATGTCAGTCAAAGTTCATTTTGCACTCTTAAGACAAAGGATTGATTTCTTATATTTCACCTCAATATGTTTTTTTCCAAAGAGAAAATCTTAACAATTATCTCAGTTCTCAAATTTATCAAAACTGTAGCTTTATGTTACTTCTACTTCAGTATTGTATATTTCTGTCCCCCATAAAATTAAAACACCGCTTCCATTCACATTTGGAGGTTTTTAGCTTCTTGGGAGCCTTTCCCAGGAAATTCAGTTGTAAAATAGTAAAGAAAGGATCAATATTCTCATCCAGTTCCAAACATGCTGTTTATGATTGTGCTAATTGGTGGTTTTCTTCTTCCATCGTCAGCAGCTAATGGCTGGCCACAGAAATGTAGCCAGTCTTTCCCCTGCCGGTTTGGAGGGATTTCCTCAGATCAAATGAAAATACCACCATCTCTTCGTGATCAACGAGGTATCCCTCCTCTTTATCGCCTCTTTGGGGCGACTTTAGGCCCCCAGCAGGGCAAAATCAGGCACGGACGGCAGAGCCCTGCCTTCCTGCGTCCGTTCCGCCATGGTGCAAAACCAGAGGTTTCCATAACAGTCTTATAAGGTATGTCAGACTAAGAAACTGGTGCCATATACAGTTGATCTAGAACTTTTATTGTAACTGCTATAGTACTGTAATAGAATCTTGCAAAGATGAATGTGCTTCTCCCTTTCCTACTTTATCTTAGTGTGAATTAGGGAGGGGATTATCTAAGTTATTTATTCAAATTAGTTTCTTGCAATGGGCTCAAGAGCCACTGTCAAGGAAGAGCCTCTTCCTACCATCCTTTATGGCCATTCCCTATGACTTCTACACTCTACCCATAACCAGGAAGGCCACTGGCATGATCCCACAGCTGCTGGTCCCTTGCCAGGGCAAGTCTCTAATTAAGTGGTAATGGAGAAGGAAACAGGAACAAAAAGCTTCAGCCACTTCTGCATCTGTAGGGCTCCCTTCAGCTGGACTGAAAATCTAGCAGAGTCAAGGTGTGTCCATATGTCTATCATCAAAGGCCTGAGTAGTGAGTCAGATCTTCATGGCTCTTTCAAAAAACAGCAGAATGGGGGCCACCTGGATTAGGGGAGCGAAACTGGTTCCAGAGGCTAAAAGCATTGTGAGGCTCAAAAGTGCCAAAGTAAATGCATGACAAGATTGAAAACTTAAAAAGATCTACCCCATGGGGATACACTGGTTAATTAAGATTATTGGTTCTTAATTTTTCTTTCAATTATAATTTTCAACATCAAAACATCCTATAACCCTCCCAGGACCTTAGTTGTACTTTTGATATCTGTTGACCTGAATAAAACGTATTGACAAAAGGGCTACAAAGTCAGTAACAATGCTTTTAACTATTTGGCATTTTATTAATCACAACAGCATCTGCATACAATTGCAAAATAAAATTATATAAATGTGTGTACATAATTTATTCAGTTCACGGATGGTGATCATTATTTTGTTATGCATGGAAGGAAGCCATCCAGCAGGTCCCCAAATGCTCTAAAGTAGCAACTGGAATACCATTCCCTTTCTAAGCTTATTCAAGAAAGAATATTTTTATTTATTTATTTATTTATTTACTTACTTACTTACTTACTTACTTATAAAACGTATTTATTCATTTTCTACAGCCACCGTTTCAAGAAAGTAACTTCTGTGACTTCCCCCAAGTTCTTGCAAATAGCAATAAAAATTTATAGGTAAGAAGGCAGACCCTGCTGGTTAAAAGCCCTCTACATGTCTTCAAGGATTAAATATTTTGTGCAACCTTGCTGATGCAAATTGTATAATTTGGGATGGGTACTCTTCATTGAATTGGTTATTATAATTAATATTTAGTAATTATTATTGAAACGATAGGGTAGGTTGACATACAGAGAAGACCTTAAACATTCCAGAATGCAAGGCATGAAATGATTCAAATTTGAAAGAAGACAGATTCTGATTGAATGTTAGGGGAAGAAAATTGCCCTTATTGGTAAAAGCAGTTCTATGGTGGGGCCAATTATTGGGAGGGGCTCTCCACTGGCTGGAGAGCTTTTAAAAAAAAAAAAAAAAAAAAAGCTGGACAGCCTTTTGGCTGGAATGATTTACTTCCAACTCTTGGTTTTAGTTCTGGCGCATTATATCTAGATTTTGTAAGAAACACATACATAGGAGCCTTTAGCATTTATGGGACACAAAATAGACAAAATAGACAGTAGAAATGCAGTGGAGCAGGGAACTATTTTATAATTTTTCTTTGTATGATCTAACTTGCTCAGAGCTGTAGATTATAATGAAATGCTTCTTTCTCTCACGGAAATGTTGCCAAGTCTTGCAGCTGTTGCAAAACCCACAGCAGAGCCTGCAGGACAGCCTATTAGTTAAAAAAAACCTATTTGTGAAATAAACATTTGCTAAACTTATGCCAAGAGTTGATGAATGTCCAACTGCACCATGCTGCATGCTCCTAACAATATTGTGGTGCTTTGAAAACCTCAGTGAAAGCCGAGCCAATTAACTACAGATGTAAATCAGCTCAGTTTTCAATCCCAAGGAAACACGTGAGAATATATTTGCAGTACCTGCTCCAGGATGCAGGGCAGGGCACTTATTTCTGGTAGGAATTCTTACCTAAGCCCTCCTCCCTATCCCTGGGACCTCCCTGTCACTCCTAGTCCTCTCCCATCCTTCTTCACTGTCCTTATGTCTGTCCAAGCTTGCTTTTCTTTCCCAGCCAAGGGAATGTTGGAAAGAAATGATATGAAGAGGCCCAGATTTCT